GTTCGGCGGCGGGCAGAAGCGGTCCCCGCGCGTCCGCCTCGCTCCCGGATGGACGGACAGCCGCTCCGGCAGCCGCGCGGGCTGGCACGGGGCGCCGAGGCTGCTGCCTCCGAGTCGGGACTGCGCGGCGCGCCGAGCCCGTCGCCGCGGGGAGGCGGACGCTTCTCGCCGAGGCGCACCCGGGCCCGCGCCCTCCCCGGGGCGCGCCTCCGGCTCCCCGCCACGCTCCGGAGGCGCCTGCAGCCCGCGCGCGGGGCGCGCTCTGGAGGCCGGCCGGGCCCGGGCCCGCAACGCTCCGCTCGCCGGCCGCCCTGCGCTCCGGCCCCGCCAGGCGCGCCGGGGAGGAGCTGGGCCGGCAGAAGGAGCGAGCGGCGCCCGGCGCGGCAGACAGCAGAGGGCGCCACGGCGCAGGACCCAGCCCTGGAGCGCGGGTGCCGCGCCTCTGACCATGTGCAGAGCGCCTGCCACACCCGCCCCAGCCCGTTTCACCAACGGCTCCCAAGGGGCTCACTTCCGGAACTCAGTTAGCCCCACAGCCAAGCGGCCAACCGGTGAGCCGGCGCCTTTCCCCCAGAAACCTCGCCGGGGAGCGAGACGAAGCAGGGGCTGCCCAGAACCGGCCCCGTGGCAGGACGGCACGGGTGGGGAAGGCCGGTCCTGCCCGCACCCCGACCATCTCGACCTCCCCACAGGGCGCATTTGAAGCAGGCTGCCGCCTCCCCTCTCGCCCCCCAGAGGACCAGGCCCGCAAGGGCAGGGTTGGAGGAAGGGCGGGAGCCGGCCGGGGAAGGGGCAGGCCGCTCTGTTGCCCAGCGTGGAGGGGAGCTGCAGGGCTGGCGGTGCCCCAGTCGGGGCTTCGAGAGAGAGGTGTGGGGGCTCACCCAGTTTTGGGCGCCACATCGCCCCCATCATGTTCCCTACAAGCAGGGCTTGCTAGTGCACTGTAAAGGGAGTGGTGAGCACTTTGGACATGCACTGGGGTGCCTTCTGAAACCGCGCTGGCCACACCCCTGCCCTAGCTCCAGGTCTCCTGCACGGCTAAGCGGCGCAACGGCGGGGCTGTGGCTTCTGGCCACTGTTGCCCTCATCCTGGCAGGGCACTCCGGGCCTCTCCACCCCTGCGCCCCGGCCCGGCGGGAGGGCTGCGCCCTGTCCTCGAACCAGCATCCTGGGGCGCTCAGCGGCAGACAAAAGGACCTTGTTAGCGGCCGCTGCCACACAGCAGTGGCGGGGCCAGCCCAGGACCGCCACATGTCCCCCCCCCCGCATTAATTACGGCCGGGCGGTGGGGGCAGCCTGCAGCTCCCTAGCCACATTCCAGGGCGAGCCCCAACCAGCCCGCCTGATCCCACTAAGGCGATTACGCGGTGCCGAGCCGGCCTTCCTGGCTGCCGGGGCGCCTGCTGGAGTCTCTGGGGCCTGGCCGCGGCCCCTCTCCCCCAGGGAATGCTGCGAGGCAGGAGAGGCAGCCGGGGACGGCGCTGCTCGTGGACCCCGGCCCCTCCCCAGGCCTTGGTGCGGTGCGGTCAGTGCGGCAAGGCCTGAACCAGCCTCGGCCAGGCTCTGCAGCCCCAGCCCTCCAGCCCCCTTCCCTGACCCTTTCCCATCTGAGTCGCGTCTTGCAGAAGCCGCCCGGGATCCGGGGCCTGTGGGACGGCAAGTGGGGCAAGCACAGCGTCGACCAGCACACCCCCTGGGCCAGAGGCACCCCTCCTGAAGTGTGGGGCTGCAGAGGCTCTCCAGGGCCGGGGGGAAGGCGCTCTGCGCATGTGCAGAAGGCCAAGGCCCCCACCAGCTCTAGTGCTAGCAATAAAATCGGTGGCAAGTCAGCAACAGCCAGACAGCCGGCCTCTAAGGGAAGCGGTGGCAGGCCCAGGGTCAGGGGAGAGCGGAGTCGGCAGGGGCCCGAGAGCCCGAGGGTCCAACCCCTGCTGAGCCATGCCTTCCCTCTCAGAGGCCTGTCCAGGCACCTGTGGGGCTCTCCAGGGAGGGAGAGCCCACCCCCTCTCAGGTAACCGGTTCCAGTGCCAGCCTGCTCTGACGGGCAGGGTTCTTCCCGGGCCCAGTCTAAACGTGGCTGCCGCTGCAGGTCGGGGGAGCCTGCCGCTGGGGGGACAGGGAACGCCAGGGTCCGGCAGCCGGAGCCGGGAGGCCCCGGTCTATTTCCCCCTTGCGCTCTTCCGACATGCATCTGGGAGGCCGCGGCCCTGGCCCCGCGCGCTCTCTCTTCTCGCTCTCTCGCCTGCTCGTTCAGCCGGGCACTGAACCTGCTGCGGCGTGCTGAGGCAGGCCCGCCGCCTGCTGCCTCCCGAGTTCCCGGGCTCCTGGCCTGGATCCAGCCCAGCCAGGCCCGTCTTCCCCTCTAGCGACAGGGGATGGGATCTGCTGATGGGAAGGGAAGCGGGAGCGCCCGTCCACCCCCGCGGCGCCCAGAGGCCGCCCACCCCATCCCGCCGGAGTCCTCCCGGCTGCGCAGGCCCGCAACACCTGGTTGCAAAGCTCTGGCTGCCCGGTCTGTGCGTGGAGTTCGCCTGGCGTGGCAGGGAGGGGCCCCCAGCAGGGTCCCGCTGCTACCCAGAGGCTGCTGGAGAGATGCGCAGGCCCAGGAAAGTGGGAGGCCGGCCGCGTGTGCAGGCGCGCATGCCAGCTGTGGAGTCCTGTGGCCTCGCTTGGCGCTTCTGATGTGAAGGCGGCTCTTACGAGAAGTCAGACAAACATTGCCTTACTCCAAACATGGAGGAAGCACTCTGATGCAAAAGCTCCCACTGCATCAAGGGGGGGTGGAGCCGAAGGGTGTCGTGGGCCAAACTACCTGGGGGCCAGAGTCTGCCGAGCCCCGAGCAGGAAGGTGTCCTGGGTCCTCCTCGCCTTCCCCGGCGGCCTTGGGATGTGCGCACTGGACCACCCCCCCTGCAGGGCCAAGGCTGCAATTCCGGACAGGCCTCCTGGGAGCTGGCCTCACGCCCTCCGCCGGGCTTTCCGCAGAGTCGGAACGCAGAGGGTTGCCCTGCAAGGAATGTGGGCTTTGGAGGAGGCGAGGAGGGGAACCGCCCCCTCCCTTGTTAGGGAGGAAATTACTTCTGAGTAAATGCACAAGATTGTTCTGACAGTTTTGCAAATACCACCTGCACCAACTGCATGCTCAGGTAGAAGAGGAGCGTTTCTCTTGCTACAGCAGTGAAGTATTTCAGGTGCCACAAGCAGGCCACATCCTCCCCGCCCCCGCACACCTCTGCCTCCCCCTGGCTTCTGCACGTCCAGAAATGCATTTGTGGGTTGCTGCGGCTCAGCTGGCCAGCAGACACCCTGCAGGTGCGGTGAGCCATGCGAGTGCCCGGCGAGGAGGCCCAGCCAGCCGGCAGAAGCGTCCTCTCGCCGCTCCCACTGGAGCAAAACCCGCCGGCCCCGTGCCGTGCCGTGCATCTCCAAGGCCGCCCCCCAGGCCTGGGAAGCCCCCTCGCCGGGGCCGCCGGAGGTCCACTCGGCCTGAGAGGGCAAGCCGGCCTTGTGGCCGCAGGAGGGCTGGAGAGCGAGCGTGCCAGCTCAGGCGCTCAA